TATTATATAATGAAACTAACTGCTGTTTAAATAGGTCTAAAGTGAAACTTGATACTAGTTTTGTATAGTTAAAAATAAAAGAGTGAGCTTTCAACTTAGATGGTATCGGATGGATCGGTAGATGGCGTTAGCTGGTTCAGGTTTGAATTCTATTCTAACTGTCCATAGCGGTCATTTATTTGAATTGTAAGTTGGGATATTATAGGTATCTTGAAAATTGCGGTTTTAGATAAGTATGTGGTAAATTATTGTGTGTTGGTTAATTATTTTATCTAATCTTAAGTAATAAAACGAAATATCGTTTTGACTGTGGCTAGTATTAAAAACCTTATAAAAATTATTTAATCAACTAAAATAAAAATGTTGTTTTGTCTTTCAGTAAACAAAGCCTTTAAAAACTAATTCATCGTAATATATTATTTATACAATTTCTAAACCTTTTTATTGCAAACTATTAGAAATCAGCAAAAATGGAATAATAAATTCAAATAAAACTAGATTTTATGGATTTTATCACGTATACAAGAAATCATTATGGAATATTAAAGTTGATTTCTGATAAATATTTGTCTGACAAATGAAATTAAATACAAAGTCAAGTATAAAAGTACATTGTTATTTGTTACTGAACAACATCAACATAAGTCACTTCATAATCTTATTGTTAGCAATAGATGTCGCTACTTGTTCTCCGAAAACGATAGTGACTTGATGGACGACTCACCGTCCATACTACGTTGAAATTGAATACGTCGATCGCATGCGACTGCACCCACCCACAGCACGAATTACTTATATTTAGAGTCTACTTTTCTATTAAGACGTTTGGTATTATAGAATTAATACAAAATTTTCTATCCTGGGGTCTAAACAAAGTCAGTTAATCTACGTATTTTTATTTTTATTCTACTGTCAATTTACGACATATTAAACCATAAAACACAGTACTTTAAACCACAAAAAGTTATGTTTTTAGACTACTTTTATGTATAGAAATTTTGCATTACAGAATCTATACAAAATTATCTACCGTGTAGTCTAAACAAATCAATTACTCTATGGATTTTTATTTTTAATCTACCGGAAAATTGCGCCATTTTCGTATGGTCAGCAAATGTCGTATATCGACAGTAGAATAAAAATAAAAATACATAGAGTAACTGACTTTTGTTTAGACCACAGGATAGAAAATTTTGTATAGATTCTATAATGCCAAACTTCTTCATAGAAAAGTAGTCTCTAAATATAAGTATTTATGGGTTAAAGTGCTGTGGGTGGCTGCGGTTGGATCCGACCGCTTGAATTTTGACGGAACATCGCCTTGGTCGGATCCGACCGTGTGCCCATTCAAATGTTGAAAGCTCAAATAAAGCGCGGAAACTATGGTAAATATGTGCCCTATGAGGAAATCTGTATGGTAGGCCTATGTTTAACTATAAACTTTAGATAGTTTGTTATAAATAAATAAAGGAATCATAAGAAGCTTAATGGTTAACGGTGAGGACCGCGAAGTAAATAAGAGTAACCGTTGTAACACACTTTTAGCGCTAGCATTTTTAGTTTAGAATAAGTGTTCTGCGAGAATAATCAGGTTAAAGCATTCCTAGTATTCCTTTTTAAGTCTAATTCAAATATTCTTTAAGCATAGTTGTAGTTTCTAGACAACATTTTTTGTCTAAAAATCCATTTATGTTATGGCGACCCGTATTACTTATCTCTGCTACCAAACAGTGGTGTATTCAGTGCTGTATTTCTGTTTCAAAGTTAAGAAGGACTCTACTTCCGGGCTGTGAAGCATTTCATCTTAGCGTCAGAGACAAAGTCATTGTCTTCTTTGCTTGAAGCCGGTTGTAGGTGTCCATGGACAGTGATAACCACTTAATTGGACTTCCAGTTCCTTACCCTTATTTAAAAAGTCTAAACGAAGTTCAGAACTAACATTATTTGTACAATTGTACAGTTGAATACGCAGAACTCCTATTTTAGTTGACTTTGAAAAAACGAGACTTTATGTTTTTGTATGAATTACTTTTTCAATTGTAAATGGATTACGATGATTCATCGTTTTAATAAAGGTTACTCTTTAGTAAAGTAAAAAGTAAAGTTACAGTCTATATACGTCCCACTGCTGGGCACAGGCCTCCTCTCATTTCTGAGAGGGTTTTAGGGCAAGGAAGTGTCCGCCGCGCTGCCCCAATGCGTGTTGGCGAACTTCACATGACTTCGAAATATATTTTTTTATTTCTTATTCTTCAGACATGCAGATTTCCTCACGACGTTTTCCTTCACCGCCGAGCACGTGGTAAATCAGCACTTAAAATTGCAATTAACAATTTCATTGGTGTCTTCGGAGAATTAACCTGGGCTACTCGCGTTCTGTTATATTTACAGCGAGCGTTAACCATCTGAGCCATCACGGCGCTTATCCTTTAAGCGTGGTTCCAAATGAATTTGAAGATGGGGAAATTCCATCTAAAAGTGCCAAAATAGGGGATAAAGCTTTTATTGTAACTATTTTAGACGACTTTGAGATTAATATTCTTTAATCCTCTCAAAGGGTAAGAAAATTTCCTTTAAATAAAAAGTAAAAGCCGAATTCAAAATCTAGCAATTTTCCAGACCGGTACGGCTTAGGGACCTTAAAGAAAAGAGCCCACTTATTTTTAAAAGGCCGGTAACGTACCTACAGTTCCCATGGTGTTGCAATTGTTTATAGACGGCGGTAGTTACTTACCATCCGGAAGCCACGTGCTCGTTTGCCTCTTGTTTCCCTCATATAAATAAAAATAATTCAAAAAATTGAAAACAAATAAATAATTTCACATTCTGAAGTTCGTGTTAAGACATATTTTAAAGAAGAATTAATTCCCTTCTTTAAATAATGTTTTTACTTAGTAGGATAATCAATTGCCCCATTTGCCCGTGGATGTCAAAAGAGACCTCTATGGTAAATGACAGAAGGATATCATTGCTTCCGAAATGCGGTGGTGTCATCTTATTTACGCTAGACGTATTATACTTATACCTGCGAAGTTAAGCAGCGTCGTGGCGATGAAAGAAAGAAAGAAAAACTATTTTGGCACAGACCTATGACGTACAACAATGTTCAGATTTTTAAATAACATACGAAATTTTAATAAATTTTGCTTGGTATTTCAAAGGCATGGCAAAAAAAGGTCAATAGGTACTCAGCATGAGTTGTGAAGAAACCAAAATGCTTCAGTTATGTCAAAAAAAATTATAAAAGCGGTAAGGCAAATATGGAAGATGTCCATGTCCAATAGGTGGGTTTCCACGGGCTTTTGTTGAAGAAAAAGACTTACTTTTTGAGTGAGACAGGTTAGCAGAGTAAAAAAGTTTTAAGGACACAAAATCGAAAGAGTATTTAATAGAAAATTTATTGTATATAATCCACTTAAACTACATAGTCCCTCATGTATAAATAATTATTTTGAAAGATTATGACACATATTACCCGTAGACCGTAAACATGATTAAGTATATTAAAATATTCAATTCATAAATCCACCATACAATATTAGTTATGTATAAATATAGTTTAATATAAGTTTTAAAAATTTTATTCAAGTTACACAATTCACAGTTATACAACAAAAAAACGTTAGTTAATATTCCAACTTTAATAAGCTAATTTTATTTCCCTATTTCAATGAAATAATATTAAAATAAGCAATATTTATTTTATAAAGCTGTTATCAATCAACAAATTTTCCTGTTTTTTACCCTGTGCATCCCAAACTTTTGGCTATTTGTACAAAATGTATTACTATACTTACTAACTACTAACATTATTTTAAAAATAAAAGACGTCTTCATAAAAATATTTGCTAAGACAAGTAAAGTAAAAAGTAGACTACTTTTATTGAAAATAAATAATTTACTTATTTTAATTTTTTTTTCTAAATCCAATACGCGCTAGTAACACTAATATAAGTCAGTCTATAGTAGAGCGCTTTAGTTAAACGCGTAAATAAAATATTTAAGTTATTATTAAACGAATATAAAAATCTGAACATAAAGTATATATTTTACAACGACAAAATGCACCATAAAATTCAGCTATTTCAAAGTAAAGCTTACGCACCTATGTATATACCGCCTAATCACATTAAATGTTATTCCTAAGACTTAATAAAAATAACAAGATCATTGGAAAACATATTTTACGTTTAATTCCGTTTTAAATATTGGTTATAATGGTCTAATCAGATATTGTGCAGTTTGACAAACATTGACTACACGTGGAGAGCTTACTCAGTGGAAAATATTGTAAGCGAGTAATTTAGTTATGCTAGGTTGAAGTCGGATCAAGTTTTAATCTTCATATGATTCGTGATGATCGAATGAATGCATTTTATATAATATTACTTCTTTAGGCAGCCATAAAGACAGTATTAAAGATATTTTGGTTGACATTTGCTAATGTAATGGAAAAAAGAAACTATTTCATTAGGTATCAAAAATTGTTGTAGCAGAAACCACTGTTGTATACGTAACACCTTAATTTATAACTTAGTGTATAATGATTATAAAAAGTATTTTGACAAGAAAAATGTCTAATATTGTTACGTTCTAAAAATAATTACGCGCCTTAACAGGAGCTTTGTTTTCCGCGATTAAGTATATAAAAGCGGTATTGGTATTAAAAGCGTTTAATCTTTGTTGATTGGTGGATAAATTCAATTATTAAGTAATTTTTTGAAATTATTTCTAGTGCCTCGCTATTTTGTAGTAGATCATTCCTTTAATGGCAAAAGGTATGTTTCCCATGTTTAGCGAGCCAGATGTTTAATATTTTCGTTATTTTATGAGAGGTATATTTTTATGGTAGTTCTAAATTTTTTGATCGCATTTATTTAAAATAAAGACATAGTTTTTTTTGTTTTTCATTCTGTATTGTTGACTTTTGAAGCATACGGAATGCTAAGAATATGATTGTTATAAACGAATCCTGTTCAATTCAATTCTCTTGTGTAATTTTATGAAGAAATTTGTGCTTTATACGCTAGATCATTTGCATCTTGGATCAAACTGGCAGATCTAGCGTAAGGGTATGATGCAGCTGAAGCAGTTGGTGATGACCATTGTTGAGGCGTCGACTGGAAGCTGGCGATCTGAAAGGAATTAACAGCAAGGGTTCATTTTAAAACTACATACAGTCATCGTCCAAATATTTCAAAAATGTCAACGAGGACTGATTAATATTTAACTGGTAACGAAGTATTCCATGTAAGTCCTCAGAGGTGACAACACATATACATTTTGATTCTCAATCTATTATAGATGTGAATGTCTGTGGGACACAGCACCTATTTGACCATTAGATGGGCTGTATGCTCATTTATTACCCTTTTTATAAAAAAATATATTACCACTTTGTGCATTTTTTTATAAGATTGGGTGACAAATGAGCACACAGTCCACCTGATGGTAAGTGGTTGCTGTGGCCCATAGACGTCTACATCTATCCCGGATTAAGAATCAAAATGCAGATGCGTTGTCAACCTTGAGAACTTAGATGGAATGTCTCGTTTCCAGTAAAAAGGTTCTCCGGTTCTCTACACTCACCATACTTAACACAGCAGCATTAAGCTAATATTTTACGCTGGTATTCTATGAGAGCGTGGTCCTTCCCCTGTTGAGCCGACCCATGCGTGCTACAACTATTCTACTAATATAACCGCAGCATGGCTCTATCATGTACAAAAAGATCACCTGATAGTAAGCGGACGTTGACCAAAATTATAACAACAGAATATAGCAAGCAAAGAAACATAGAATGTAATAAAGAATATATAAAAAGCTATTGACTGATTACCTTGCCACTGATATTATTAAGTCCTCCTCCACTCAGAAGCTTGTGAAGACCTAGCGCTGCGGCTGCTAAGAACGCCAGCTTGGCTACCACCAATGCTTTTGTGACAAGTAGAGTGAGAGCTCCGAAGAGTAGGCCCACCACGGCGATAACTTTCACTCCTATACCGGCTAGCAGAGGCGTGTATTTCTTGATCTTCCCACGTGCTAAAATATATAAGTTTTGTTAATACGGAACGAACGTTTAGTGCAGATAGAAGTACATACATAAACACTCATGCCTGTCACACAGCGGGGTAGGCAGAGACTATGGACTTCATTTGGCATGATTCCAACATACCTCTCTCGCCTCCTTTACATCCATATATCTATGCATACACAATCGTCGGTTAAGGGTACTCCTAACGTGGCTCATTTTCAAAATATCGCCAATTTGGTCAATAAACTTTCATCTAGGGCGTCCCTTCCCGACTCTGCCGTTCACATTTGCCATATAAATTTTCTTGTCATCCTTTCCTCATTCATTCTTTCTACATTACCAAACCAACGAAACATTCCTTTCTTAATCCTGGTCACATTACACAATTTCTCATCCTGTCATTCAGATTCAGATGGAAGTGAATATGCTTAAAATCTATTACCATTACCGTGGCTGTCATCAATAGTCCAATGCTGAACAAAGGCCTCCCCAAGTATTGTCACATAGTTTTTGTCATTTGTCATAGTTTCCACGCGTGCCAGTTCAGGTTAACAACCGTGGTTTTTTATTTTTTAGTTTCTATTAGGAATACATTGCTGCTCATCTCCTGGCTTTTTTCCGTGTGTCGTCTGTTACGACACCCACGAGACAATATCTGGTAGAAGATATACCGCCACTACACGGTCTCTTCAGAGACTTCGTAGGACAGGATTATAGTACATAAATGTGTGCGGAAGAACAAGTCAACTCTCTGTTCTTTCTATCTCATAGTAGCTCAAGTCCGGTGGAACAGCAATCTGATACGGTCAGCGAGAAATAAGGAGCAGAACCAACGGTTTAAAGTTCTTTTTGAGGACGGAGGTTGAAACACCGCCATCTTCCTGATTTCGGGCTGCTACTCAATTTTTTTTTGTCTAGCATATGTGGACTATTAGAAAGCCTTTGATTCCGTCGGGCACATTTGGGCAGTGCTACAGTCTCTTCAGCGGTGCCAAGTTGACTGTCGGTATATCGAAGTGCTGAAGTGTTTGTACAGTAGGGCTACGATGGCTATCTGAGTACAGAATCAGAGTTCGAAACCTATCCAACTGCAGAGAGGTGTAAGACAGGGTGATGTTATATCCCCGAAACTCTTCACCGCTGCGTTGGAAGACATATTCAAGCTACTGGTCTGGAAAGGATACGGTATTAACATCAATGGCGAGTACATCACTCACTTTCGATTTGCCGACGATATAGTCCTTATGGCAGAATCACTGGAGGACCTTAACACTATGCTCAATGATCTCAATGGTGTCTCCCAACGGATAGGTCTTAAGATGAACATGGACAAAACAAAGATCATGTTTAATGTCCATGTCACACCTATGCCGGTAGTTGTTGGAAGCACTATGCTCGAAGTTGTTGACGAGTACGTTTACTTGGGACAAATAGTCCGACTAGGTAAGTCCAACATCGACCGAGAGGTCAATCGACGGATTCAACTCGGCTGGGCTGCGTTCGGGAAATTACGACACATCTTCTCGTCGGGTATACCTCAAAACCTGAAAACTAAAGTGTACAACCAGTGCGTGTTGCCAGTGATAACCTACGGAACCGAGACGTGGTCCTTCACTGCTGGCCGTATGAGGATGTTCAAAGTCGCTCAGCGAGTTATGGAGAGGGCTATGCTCGGGGTCTCTCTGCGTGATAAACTTAGAAATGAGGATATCCGCAGTAGAACCAGAGTGACCGACATAGCCCAACGGATTAGTGAGCTGAAGTGGCAATGGGCCGGCCATATAGCTCGAAGAACCGGTAACCGATAAGGAAGAAAGGTTCTCGAGTGGCAGCCTCGTACCGGTAGGTGTAGTGTAGGGCGACCCCCCACTAGATGGAGTGACGACCTGGTAAGACATGCAGGAAGTCGATGGATGCAAGTGGCTCAGGACCGTGCTTTGTGGCATTACTTGGGGGTGGCCTATATTCAGCAGTGGACTTGTGAAGGGCTGTAATGATGATGAATGATGATGATGACTCAAATTTACTCTGCTCTATATATATAAAAACGAGTTTGTTTTTTACTATTTTAAACCAGTGTCTGACGTCTTTCCCACTTGATGCTAATTGGTAGTGTATCCATAAATGTCATAGCTTAATAAAAGGTCTTGCTGTAGAAAACGCCCACATTATGATCGAATGGAAAGACATCTGCTGGAAAATTTACTACACTTCTTAGCTGTACGCATTATGAACGACGAAGCAAGTCCTGCTATTTAATTCAAATATTTAAATAAGTAAAATATATTGAAATGAAATAGAACTTTACACAACACAACACTTTGTGGAATAATTAAGACATCATAGGATATATTTAGAAAACTGGTGAAGTGTGTGTTGGGACACACGCAGGTAAGGGCTTCCGTTATAAAGCTTATTTCTATAGTTAAATCGCAAGTGTTTAATAATGTCAGCAATATAAGCTAGAATCTCGTTCGTGAATTTAAAATTTGGTGGTTATCCTTTTTTAATGTAGAACCACCAGTAAGCTGCTAGTGATGGGGGCCCCGTATACACCTTCGGCCCTGGAAGTCGATAAAACACAAATTAACACCTTGTGATGCGGGACAATATTGGGGACTATGTCAATAAGAAGAGCAAGAATTTCTTCCAATATTGTCTAGTTAGTTTAAATATTTCATCTGTCATTCATTTTTTGAGCCAGGTTACGTAACGGGGTGTCAGGTTACGTTATTCTATGTGTGGTCCAGAGGCTTAGTACATTTTTTTCTTAACTATATCGTATTTCTCAAAGTCTTAACTTAATATGGTAATGTCGGCCAAAAGTATCCTTGACCTGTTCCCAATACATAAATACAATATCAAAATTAAAGGGAAGAAATAATGACTTTAATTTTATATAAAATTTAAAAGTATTTCATATTTAAAAGCAATTTTTAACATGGTAGAGCCATGCTGTAGCTATATTAGTAGTATAGTTGTAGCACGTTTGGGCCGGCTCGACTGGGGTAGAACCACGCTCTCAAAGAATACAAGCAAAAATAGCAGTTTAACACTGCTGTGTTTTGTATGGTGAGTGTAGAGAACTGGAGACGCTTTTTACTGAAAAAAAGGCATTCCATCTGAGTCCTCACGAGTGACAACGCATCTGCATTTTGATTCGTGATGGAGGATAGATGTAGATGTCTATGGGCCGCAGCAACCACTTAATATCAGGTAGAGTGTGTGCTCATTTGACACTCTTATCCTATAAAAAAACTGTCTCCGTTATTAAAAGATTCCCGGGAAATTTTAATTTTACATCTTTGGAATGTTTTTCCGTGATAAGTGTTTCATCCCCATTGCCTAAATAGCTTATGTAAATAAAAAAATGAAAGGTCCCAACAATGCCATACGTTTGTGATAACATAGCACAGTACCATAACGGTTTACCGCGCACGTTTTACGTCGCGATCGCCGTGGACTTGACTACGTAACCTTGACCAAGCGTTGCGTCCGCTCACGTAACAGGCCAACGAACTTACCCGGTAACTTTCTTTTCACCGGACGCACATTTTAACGTTGTGCTCTCGTGTGTTTGTTGACGCAATTGCTTCGATTTTAGATGTTCGTAGTTCATCTAAGTTTCTAGTTTTTGAAATATCTCTTCTTATTATTATACCTCACAGGATCCTTAGATTACATTTATTAAATTAACGTATTATTTGGGATTCAAACACGGAATGAAACAAATTAGCGTACTTGAAACAGAATGTTTAGTCAATTTTTCATAATAATCAAGAAGTTATTAAATTATGTTTTTATTTAAATCGCACTAAAATATACAGACCAGACCAGATTAATAGATCTGTCTTCTTTTGCTAATTTTTTTCAAAATTACTTTTCTCATGTGTGAAGTTCATATTTAAAAAAAATCTAACTTGCCTTCTTCAAACGTTCTTGCAGCCTCTCGTAGCTCTCCTGGTTCGAATTTGACGTTAAGTTTTTCTTCTCCTTTAGCGTCTCTTGAAAAAACAAATAAAATGTTAATATTGCTGTACCTACTCGTACATTGGACAAGTCTTGGTTAAATGGTGTAAAAATGTATTAAAAGTTTTTGTGTTAATATTGAACGCTATTTTTAAATAGAATATCAATGTCTAGCCAGTTTATAAATGTTCTTTAATTTAAATTAATAAACAGTCAGTTAAATAGATACAATTTTTCTGTCCCACTAATAAAGACGGTAAGGATCGTGTTGTGGTTTTGGAGTTAAATTGAAATCAATAAAATAATTTGAAAAAAAAAAACAGTAATTTTCGTTTTATTAATTAAAACAAGGAGATCTAAATCGAAAACGGTCGATTCTATTAAATATAAGTTAGAGAAAGTGAATGCGATTGTGTGTTAATTTAATCCATTCAATGTGTGTAATTCATGAATATAAAATAACTTTGTTTAAAAGCTTTGTTGAACTGGTAGCTCTTTAAAACTCTAAGCTCTTTAAAAAGAAACTAGAGTTTAACTTAGACCATATTTATCGCAGAAGAATTTCCATATTTTTCGAATTACTTACTACAAAATTCTTTGGATCTCATAATGAACTTATTAAGATTTTAAGTGTCAAAGAATATGATTTGGAAGCTAGTGACTTAACTATTTTAACGTGATAATTTGTTTTGGTGTCCTCTTAAACCATCACTATTTATTATATTTCTTAAACGTGGCCCTATTACTAATTGTATAAATTTAGCTTCGCTACAATGATATTTTTTCCTGTCCAACTTTTTACTTTGACGATATCACTTGAATGTTTTCGTAAAATTTTATTGCGCAAGATATTTTAAAATGTCACATGTATACAAACAAAAGCAATATAATTTAAAGAAAATTAAAACAGAAATGAAAAATGTTCGTACGTGAAAATGATGCATTATAGCAGTAGTTAGTTAGTTAGTTACTTTAGAGATCTCCATAACTGAGTACCGAGCATATTATATATGTTGCACTAGTCGAAACAAGTGAACGTCAACATATGTGTTTTCCCCTGAACTGATATATTATACTATTCACGTCTTGACAAAGCTCACCGCCATCCTTTTCCTCCTTTGTTATAAGCATTTTAACAACATTTACTGTTATTATATGTCTGTTAAAAGGGTAAAAGAGCCAGTTATCATAGGTCATCTATAAACAGAATAACGGATGAGACACAGGTGTAATGGAAGCCTCACAAAATTGGTGACAAACGAGCACACAGTCCACCTAATGGTAAGTGGAAGCTGTGGCCCATAAATATCTACTCTTATCCTTGATTAACAATCAAAACGCAGATGCGTTGTCACCCCTGTGGAATAATATGGAATATCTCGTTTCCAGTAAAAAAGGGTCTCCGGATCTCTACACTCACCATACGAAACACAGCAGTATTATGCTACTATTTTACGCCGGTATTCTGTGAGAGCGTGGTCCTTCCCCGGTCGAGCCGACCCATTCGTGATACTACCATAATATAGCTTCGGCGTGGATCTACCACGTATAAAATGAAATTGCTACGTCGTATGCATCTGCTAACGCTAAGTTTTTTTTAAATAATTTTGATTGCATGTACGAAGGGTTATGGAAGATAATTTCAATCTCATAGATTTTTCCCGTTTTGTCACAAATATATTTTAATAAAGGAATTGGTTGAATTCCAAATACAGCAATGCTATGTGATGTTATTTGCCAGAAAGTCAAGTATTATTTTAATTTAATTAAAAGATCTTTAGGGAGTTTCTAGGGTATGCAGTGGTTATTCAAAACTAAATTTGGATTAGTTACAATTTAGATATGAAATAAAAATTTCTTAAATTTTATTTCCAAGCGACAGTAGCCTAATACGCGCGCCTTATACCCGCGAATTTAAGGTTGTGGGTTCAAATCCGCTACTATCGTGAATCACAGAAGAAACATTTTAAGCTTACCAGAAGTGGCTAAAGGGAATATTTGTAAAAAAAAAATACAGGAAGTTTAGGCTTCTTTAGATTTATAATTCTCATATTTTTAATACGAAAACTTAATTTTTCAAAATTATTTCAAATTTGTTCGTTAGCTTTTATTAAGATCGTTTCTGATCGTTTTCACGTTTAAAAAGCTCTGTTACCTGAGAAATATAAGAAGTAGGCATGTTATTTAATCCTTTTAAATATTAGACTGCAGTATGTTTAATCAAACCAAAATATTGTGGTTAACCAAATTTTTCGGAGAGAAAAGTAATTAGTACCATTTTGGCATAGTTTTGTAAATTCTTGTATTTATGCCAGCGTGAAGTGATTTCTATTACAGACATTTTTCTGTGATGTTTATGCTGTCAGCTACGTGAACTATATAGAAATTGAGGCCAATTTTATTTCTAAATAGTTATCCTACTTTATAAAAAAAGGAAAAGGCAATTAAAAGAGAAAAGCAAATTTATATGGCAGATGTGAACGGCCGAATCGGGAAGGGACGCCCTAGAAAAAAGTTTATCGACCAAATTGGCGATATTTTGAAAAGGGGCCACGCTAGAAGTACCCTTAACCGACGAGCATGTGTGCGTAGATATATGGATGTAAAGGAGGCGAAAGAGGTGTGTCAGGATCGTGCCAAATGGAAGTCCGTAGTCTCTGCCTACCCCTCTGGGTGACAGGCGTGAGTGTTTATGTTTTTTATGAAAAGGCAATTATTGTAATTTTGTATAATTTCATACATTGTTAACTTTTCTCACGTAGCAGTAGCAAAGTAGAAAATTATTATCCGTGTTTTATGGTTAACGAAACAAATTTACTAAGCAATTTAACACGGCGTGAAGAGTGACACTTCATGATATGCGTTAAGAAAATTTGTGTGATTATTTAGGAGCATTGTTTTGATATTTTCACTTTACAAACTACATTTGTAAGTATTTTTTCGATAGTTGTTATTTTAATGTTTATAATAATTATATGTACAATGAAACTTTTAAAATAGAAGGATGGTTTAACACGCGTAGAAATATTTTTTAAAGCATAAGAGTGACAAATGGATAGACAGCCCACCTGATGGTGAATGGATGCTGTGGCCCTGACATCTGCATCTATCCTCGATTAAGAACCAATATGCAGATTTCACCCCTGAGGACTAAGATGGAATGCCTCGTTTCAAGTAAGAATGTCTCCGGTCCTCTACACTCACTATACGAAACACAGCAGCATTAAGCTGCTATTTTATGCTGGTATTCTGTGAGAGCATGGTACTAACCCGGTCAAGCCGACCCTTTCGTGCTACAACCATATAACTGAGGTGACAGTGATGACTCTACTTAAAGATACCACTTATTTTCTCCACATAAACATACCAAAAATAACACCACAAGACAGCAATAGGAGTGACCTATGTTTGCTGAGGATTTATAAATTAATAAAATAATTGTGAATGTTATAATTTACAATTACGACAAACATTATTTGTAAATCTTATGTACGATAATTTAATAATAACTATATTTTTCTCAGTTTATCGAAGTTAAGGCCTTATGACTAATAATGTTTATTTAGTATGTGCAATTATGTCAAAGATATTTATTTTTATATACGTATTTTACGTAAGTTTGATTTTGAGCAATATTCTATTGATTTAGTAAATATTTTATTTATGATCTCGTGTTTCAAGATTTTATATTTTAAATAATATCTGTACCAGTAGCAACAATTCATAAACTTACAAACACCATAAATGTAACAAACAGGGTATTTGTGTTTGTATAGTGGTTCCCGTTAAGTAACACACTTATTATTATATATATATATATATATATATATATATATATATATATATTATCATCATAGTCGGTACGCAAACGTATAGAAATAAGTACAACTGACACGCAGATCGGTAAAGCAAGGTCTTTAACAATGATCTTGGTCTCCTGCCAATGGTGATGTAATAAAATAACATGTAAAAAACATGGTGATGTAAAGAATTATTTAAAATAAATTACATAATTTTTGTCGAGATTTCTGAATACTGATTCTGATAACGCACTTAACGGTAACCACAGGGTTATTGTTACGTGTTGAATTTTTATAACACAAGATTTAAATTCTCACCTTTCAATAGCTACTCCCGAAAACAACTCAATCTTCCCATCGTCTTCCGCACCAGCACCAGGGGCAGCGCTGCAGGCTACCACGGCGATGACAAGGATCGTACACACCACTCTCATATTTATACCAATGATACTAATAATTAGATTTATTAAGGTAGTTGGGTCCTTCCTGGTCTGTTGTCGAGGATAAAGTGAGCCCGGCCCGGGATACCCACGCTTATATATGGAATGAGGGAAGACGAATTCTTTGAGACTCAGCTCCAATGGGTTAGGTTCCGCAAAGTATGCAGTGTTCAGAGTTTTGGTACTTGAACCACCTTGATTACAAATTTACAATTACAGAGTAGATATGAACTATATTATTTCAATTTAATATTAATTTAATTTAATGTGTCGTAAATCTTCTGATAACTGTATTAATAGTAGCTGTATTATTACTTTAAAAATAAATCATCTAATATTATTTTTATAAAAATAAATGCTTCAATAAGCATAATATATAAGAATCTATAAAAATTAAAAATAATTCCAAAGCTACTCTTTCTGGGTTATGGTACTTATTTATTGAGTGTGTGAATATTTGGGATAAATACCATTTAAAAATTATATTACAAATAATATTCGTTATTAAGAATTCGATGTTAGAATACATTTGTGTTCTTCAACATTAACTTCTAAAGAGTTATTTCTTTATTAGGAATACGCTATGTAGAAATATCACTTTTAATTTAAAAAAATGAATCAATTTATAATGATTCGATCATTTAAAAATTTTTCACTGTCTTTTCTTTCACATATATAACAAATGTGGTTCATTAGATTGACACAAATTGTAATGCTAATGATGTATTAGGCAATATATCATTTAAGTTACTTTCGTTTAATACCCGTTTTAAAAGTATCAAGATGGTTTTGCCTTTAAACGTTCATTCATATTATATTTCGTATGCACTCATGTGCTAGACAATAAAGAGGCGTAACATTTGAATTGTATCTATCTAATCTCAATAATATCTACTCTACATCCGTTGTTCCGGCGGAGAGAATTCGTTTCAAATCTATATCGTTACGAAAAAACTGAAATGAAAACATTTCTTGTTATTATTATTCAAATTCTCCTTTGCTGTACAAGGCTCTCCTGCTGTAAGCAGATTTTTTTAATACGATTGAGCACACGATAAGTAGATCATCATCAATTACGAATTAAAATGTAGATGTGTTGTCACTCCTGAGTACTAAACGAGACATTAAGTTGGTAACTTGGTTGAGCGTGGTCAATTCTCGATCGAGTTGGCCCATTTGCACTGCAAACATAACATACAGCATGGTAGATATGTGTCATTTATTCATTTCTAGTGACCCGAACATTCAAGTATTGATTCGTCTTACTCTGTGATCTGTGAGACTCGCCCGTTAATGACGGCCGTGGGATATTACCACACTAATTGGTCGTAGGTTCTGTCAATTGTTTGATCCGTAACGTTGAATAAGTGTAATTCCAACCATCATTACTTCGACCCGGGTCAAATGAACGAATCATTCACGATTTACACATGTCTACAGCGTGGCTTTAATACGATAATGAATCTTCAACAATCAACAATCTTCTTCTTCTTATTCGTCTCGGGTCTTTCACGCTGCTTTTCGTCACGCGTCTTGGTTTTTTTTGCGAAAGATACCTTTAAGTTGTCGGGAAGTTGAAGCACCTTGTTTTAAACTCTCAATAGTTGAATTTACTTTTATAGAATAAGAGTGACAAACGAGTACAAAGTCCAACTGATGGTAAGTGGATGCTGTGTCCCATAGACATCCACATTTATCTTCGATTAAGAATCCAAACGCAGATGCGTTGTCACCCCTGAGGACTAATATGGAAGGCCGTTTCCATTAAAAAAGGGTCTCAACAGCAGTATTAAGCTGCTTATTTAATTTGGTATTCAGTGAGAGCGTGGTCCTTCCCCGGTCATGCCGACCCATTCGTGCTGCAACCATAATATAGCTGCAGCATAATATACCACGTATAAAAATGTTTCGTACTCCTTTTCTGTACTCGGATAGCTAACGTAGCCTTATATATAAGTAAGTACTTAATTTATTGCGACACAAATACAGCATTGTTCTGATAAACTTTTTTTTAAATTGAAATGACAAACGAACTTCCATGGAAACCTGTTGCAAACTTCAAACAAAGACGGCTATAGATACAGTGTCGCCTCTGATGACTAAGATGCAATGCCTCACAACCTGTAAATATACTGGGCTCTCTGTAACCTTTAGACTGGAACAAAACACACAGTTATTTGGCGGCAGAAATAGCCGAGAATGGTGCCTACCTACACCGACTTCAATTCAGGAAACGAGACCTAACACATTGTAAGGTGTTGCGTTAAGCATAACCTACGCATGAGCGTATGATTATTTTGATCTCGTGATACATCTAGGCATGCTTTCCATTATAAAGGCAAAATGCTCAAACCGTGTAGTGGCGGTGTAATAATAATATCCACTACCCCATATCATTTTGTGGGTGTCATAAAGGGCGCCAGAAGGAAACCAACGATAAGATGGGCAGCAACGATGCAATTGTAGACCCGTCGGTAAAGCGTGACAACTTTTCGTCAACGTCAGTTGTATACGTGGTAGAGCCATGCTGCAGTTATATTAGTAGTATAGTTGTAGCATGAATGGGTCAGCTCAACCCGGGAAGGACCACGCTCTCACAGAATACCAGCGTGAAATAGTAGCTTGATGCTGCTGTGTTTCGTATGGTGAGTGTAGAGAACTGGAGACCTTTTTTTACTGGTAACGAGGCATACCATCTTAGTCCTCGGGGATGACGACGCATCTGCGTTTTGATTCTTAATCGAGGATAAATGTAGATGTCTATTGGCCACAGCATACACTTACCATCAGGTGGAGTGTGTGCTCGTTTGTCACCCTAATTATATAAACAAAAAAACTATGGCAAATATCAACTCAGCAGTGGATTTTTAGTGCGATGTAACGGTAAATGCTAAAGTGTTATTCATGCTCCGGGGTTTGTTTTCAGTTTTGAATTTGTTTGTTAAAATGTATTTTTCTGATATAGAAAAAAAAAAGTTTTTTAACTTATACATATGTTTTTCTGTTCGTGACGCGCAATGAAAATTTTGCATTTGTTTAAACGTGTCCTCATAAGGCAGTAAGCAGCACGTATTTCTAAATTTTACTTAAAGTTCTTTACAAGTTGTAGGTATAATAAAATCGTTGAATGCTTTTGTTTTACGGGCGAGTGAAATTCTCTTACATGTAGCCATTGTAATACTTGGCAAACGTCAGAAAATTCATGCATTCTGTGCCATCGATCAAATTGTACTTTATTAAAGTTTCCCTGAGACGAATTTTACTTAAATAAATTTCATATATTAAAATATATTTTTAGTGTTATATATTGATATTATTTTATAGGAAAAGGGTGACAAACGAACACACAGTTCAACTGATGGTAAGTGGATGCTAGGATCCATAGACATCTAGGTCTATCCTTGATTAAGAAACAAATTGTAAATACGCTGTCACACATGAGGACTAAGATGGTATATCTCGCTTTCAATAAGCATCCACAGGATTCAACTACTATTCTGTGAGAGCGTGGGTCTTCCTTGGTCGAGTTATCCCATTCTTGCTACAACCATAATATGTAGGTGCAGCGTGGCTCTAACACAAATATATTATATTGAAAGAAAGATATATACAACATTTCATTAGTCATAATTCCAGTACTACTATAGTCATAATTTTGGTATTACATATGTACGGTACCTACAAATGTTAGGCGTTTATATTTTGTTTATAAACCACAGACTTAAGTATTGAGGTCCTAAATAGCGAATATATATGTTTTTAATATTTAATTACATCATTATCAGTAGACGGTAGAGTAAGAGGGGGAGGGGGAGGGTTATTAAAATGCAAATATTATACTATTATTGATTAAGTTTCAACTGTTAAATTATTATGCGTGGTAGAGTCATGCTGCAGCTATATTACTTGTATAGTTGTAGCACGAATGGGTCGGAAAAAAAGTTTATAAGAACAGTAACTTTAATTGTATCGCAATAAATTAAATACTGACTTATATATAAGGTGCTACGATAGCTATCCGAGTACAGAAAAGGTGTACGAAACATTTTTATACGTGGTATATTATGCTACAGCTATATTATGGTTGTAGCACGAATGGCTCGACCGGGAAAAGACCACGCTCTCACAGAAAAAATAGCAGCTTAACCTTCACGGGCGACAAAGCGTCTGCATTTCGATTCATAATTGAGGATAGACGTAAATGTCCATAAGCCACAGCAACCACTTACCATCAGGTGGACTGAGTGCTCGTTTGTCACCATTATCCTACAAGAAAACCACATTCTTGATACTCACCACGATGATTAGTGTAAAATATCACGTGAAGGTGAGGTTGTTATTCGTAAAAAAGTGACTTGGCTCAAAATAATCCAGCTTGGCCAGTTAGCCAGCTAACGCATTTATAGACAGGTCTAGCCAGCAGTCTATATTATTGTGCAATATTATATAAGATGTGAAATGATATTATTATATTATAAAAAGATACGTGGAAACTATAATATAAAAGAAATTATCGGTTTACAGCCAGGTCATTGCACTGAAACTAATATTCGACGTGGTCCATCCAAAATTTTCTTATCTTGTAAAGAGGTCAAGGACGCCATCTGACTTTCTCCAATAAGGTGGTGACTACATGTTTCTTCGAGACAATATAAAACCTCTCTTTCTCTCTCTCTCTCTTTCGCTCTTCAATAAAATGACTGTTAGTAAAGTTTCTGTTTCACAGATCGTCATAACTTGACCGACAATTATTTAAGAATTTTAGTTATTGTAGTGTGATAAAAAGAAATAAATTTTTGTTATTATATTTAGTTTAACACAACAGAACTGCCCTCTGCACATAAAGAATATATATATATATATATATATATATATATATATATATATATATATATATATTTATTTGTGTACTTTTATTTTAAATATATAAGGGTGGCCACTGAAAATCAGGGTTGGGGTGTTCTACTTCTGATACATTCCAACATATCCTGAGTGGCTTTCCTTTTTGGAGCAGAGCAGCATTAACGGGTGGATTGTCTTTGTAATACACCTTATGCATTTACTCCTTATTCTCTAGTTTATTATTATTATTATTTTTTCTTTTTTATATTATTGTTTGCTTTTTTTGTTTTTTCTCGTTTTACCATATCTATAAACAAGGAGTGAATGTCCTGTTTCATGATTTCTATGTATAATTTTTTTTTTGTTTTTTTGTTTGTATGACTACTTAAATGTTATGTGTTTTATGTAATCCACTTGAGTGTGTTGCATGTGCCAAATAAAATCTTTTTCTTTCTTTCTTTCTTTCTTTTTTTCTGATTGCATATCTTTACCATTATTCTATGATAGTAGCGCTGTTTGCCCAAACGGATCTTACAGCTTCATCTGACTAAGGCTTTTCAGTTCGCGAGTTTTAATTTAAACAGAGAAAGGCAATGACGATGATGATGAATAGTTCCTTTTATTTGCGAGCAGCTATGCAGGTCTAGGGAAAGACCCATATCACTGTGCTATGGCTATAGTTCACTGCCCTATATCTTCAATGAATAGAAGGAATTGCTTAGCTGTGAGCAATTTTACTTCTTCTGGGCGGAGTACATAGCTTCCAAGATGAGTGTTACGTTTGCGCATTAAGGGTTTGCAATCAGGATCTGCATAGGCGTATCTTCCGTTACGGAAAAAAAGCTCCTTACTATATTCTGTATCATTCCGTAGATTTCGTAAGAGACGTCTGTGTGAAATGCCAAAAATCTTATTGCTTCGCAATGTAATCATCTCGTTATCACCAGACATAAAATATCCAGACCTGCTAAGGGCAGCAGCGTTGAAGATGCGAGCGAGACGTTTGGTATTGCAATCGTTATAGTGTCGGCATCGTTTTAACTATAAATAATTTTATATCTGCATTTCTCACACAACAAATGGTAAATTAAATATTTTGTACAACCAACTTCAATATAAATAAAATGAGAACATCATCAATGTAGTCGAAGTTAATTAAATAGGCATCAGTAAGGATAAAAACCACTGGTCAAATCTTGATGAAATTTGTATAATATGACAACATAATAAGTATCAAATTTCAAATAAAAAGGCATCATCACAATTGGTTCACCTACAAAAAAATTCTCAGGTAACACACATAAAAATATACAGTCGAACTGTGTACCTCCTCCTTTTTTTGAAATCGGTTAAAAATAGTCACAATTTTTTTACTTGATAAGAAGTAGAAACAAAAAAGCTTCAAAAAGTCGTAATAACAGCGAAATGGTAATAGTCAACCAAATTAGAAAAAAAATTAGAATTATTAATTTTGGCCATAAGTTCTCTAAATACCATTTTCCATTGGATTCAAAAGCATCTTTTATTTTGGATTTCAAATTTAAAATAATTTTTCTTCTACTTTATCGCGGCATGTAAACCAGTCTTGAATCAACAGCAACAACAGCCAACAGAAGCTACGGCTCAAGGTCGTGACAATGAACTAGTCAATACCTTACTTTCTATTTGAACTGTTGTATGCGGTAATGAGAATATTATCCATATTATTACCGCTCTCTCTCTCTCTCTCTCTCTCTCTGCTATATAACTGCCTCGTTTGTCTAGTGGTTGTAGTAGTGCAACTGTTGATCGTGAGATCCTGGGTTTGAATCCCGAGTCGGGCCAAAAATCATTTATTGAGTTTTTTCTGTCAAGAAATTCTCAGTAGCTGCCCGGAGTCAGGAAGTTGGCGGTGTCGCACCCCGTGCCTCGGAAAGCACGTAAAGCCGTTGGTCCTGCGCCTGTGCTTGCGCATATACTTGGTCACTATAATCCTGTCCTGCGCAGTTGGCTAGCCTCCGTTGAGGCAGGCCGCCGTGACCGAAATTCGGTCTATAGGACATTACTATATTATGTAGTATAAGCATCGGCAACAAACAAAGGTGCAGCTTGTGTTGTCTGTGCTGGACAACAGACACAACAACAGTATTAGAAGTTAGTCCACCTGAATGCGGGTCCTGGGTTCTATGCCGGCCGAAATCAATATATGTGCAAAATAAAAAATTGTTGCTCTATGAGTCTACTTTATATTATTATCGTCATCATTGTTACCCCATCATCATCATTTATTTTCAATCTCATAGTAAGTCTTACACCGAACATGAGTATGTTAGTTCGAGCGGACGAATAAAAAAAGGTATCTTTCATAATCAGGTTTTATTATGAACTAATCTTCTGTAATTTAGACTAACAAATGTGTTAGATATAGGAGCTCCAGTAACGTTAAATTAAAGTTTTTAAGTGGCCATGTGGAAAAACTAGGTGCACACTTTTAGGTATTTTTGCGAATCGTCAAAATAGAGCCGTTTCTATCTCTACAAAATATCATTTGCACAGTGCACCAAACACTAAATCTAGTTTTTTCCTCATTTCGACACGTGGATATGTAGTATGAAAAAACTATGAGAATTGTAAGAAAGATGCTCTATGGACTACCGACATCTGCCCCCTGAGCATGAATTTTTTTTATTTAAAATTTCAAGTATCAAGATCATCGGGAAGTTTGTTTAAATCAATTACTAAATTCCTTCTAAACAAACATACACGGAAACTAGTTAATAAAAATGTCGTAAGATGTTGATGCTTTGACCCCTGAGGACTAAGATGGAATGCCTCGATTCCAGTAAAAAACACAGCAATATTGAGCTGCTATTTTACGCTGTTAGGTAATCTGTGAGAGCGTGGTCCTTGCCCGGTCGGGCCGACTAACTCATGCTACAGCTATGATATAGTTGACCACGTAAAAGTAAAGTAAAGTGTTGTATTATATGTTGTATTTGTTACTTCACCAACCATGTTATAAATAATTTTAGTAAGAAGTTTTTCTCCTATTTTAAACTTTTACGTCTTAATTTTGTCTACCATGAAATGCAATTTCAGCTAGTTTGATTTTACCATTGTGAGTACGTTGAAAACAAGTTTTAAAGAACATACCGGTATTAAACTAATTAATTTGTTTCACCTTTTGACATGTATCTTATATCATTACTATTATTTAAAACTGTAATTTGTAAATTAGCATGCTGACGTTTTGGGCATACTGTAAGCCAGTATGCACACTGTTTTTTAAAATATAAATAATCAAAATAAATAAACAACAATGAAGTAAACTATCTTTTAAAACGGCACTACAACCAAGAAAGTGTCAAGTTGCCTTTACCAAAGTTCATGTGGATTACAGAATTAAAAGGCTTTTAGCATCAAGATTAAAATTTGGATAGCACGTAATCTTTAATATCCTATAATATTTAAAAATTATAGGATATTAAAGATTATATTATTATCTAATATTTAAAAATTACAAGTCGTTTTCCTCATTAAAATAATTCGCAATTATTTTGAAACAATTCTATAATTTATACTCTTTCTTATAGTTAATTATCGAATAGACGGTACTTTCTCTGGACAAGAACGATTAGAATTAATTTAATAATCCAATATTAATATTATCATTACTACATAATATTTATTTTGTACTAAAGCTGATTATTGACCATTGGTACATAGTTTCCTCTACTGTAGTGTTCATTGTAGTAGTGATCTTCATTCTTTGGTGGAATTTGAATGATTTCCACTTGGGTTTTGGTGTCATCTTTACGGTTTGAATGATATAATATACCCTTGAGGCTGAGAATTGATGCCAACGCGGTTGAAAAGATACCCATCAGAAGACCTGTAATGAAAATCAAAGTTAGAACTTAGATGCACCCAGGGCTGGACATATAGCTTTAGTGCATGCTGGCGGCCTCCATAAAGTTATTTTTCAAATAGTATAGCCAAATTTAATACTTAATTTCAAATATATAAATAAGGATATACCGTTATTGCAATTTTTGAAAATACGAGTAAATAAGACTTCTACGTTTTATTTGAAATTATCGCAAATTGAATGTGATTTAGAGGCAACAACTACGCATATGCGCGTTCCTCTGTGTGCGATTAAATTCACAATGTTTTTCGACTCTTACGAATGTGTGCGTGCATAGTAAAATAGTAGGCATTAGATATTTATTACTTACTAAGCATTCTGAATTTAAAACATAAGGACAGAGTGTTAAAATTTTTTTTACAATAAGCTTTCTTCACCACTCGCTTATGTTACTTATTCTGAACCTTCCCGCAAACCTCTTTCCCCTTGGCCTTATATTGCAAGATAACTCTGTATATCTCCAAGACGGTACATAAAAATTGCTATAACTACTGCAATTCAAGCTACTATGTACTTTACTAGTTAAGTCACTTAATAAACTTATATTTGGAATATTTAATCTTTGTGTAGTGGCGGCTTAAGAAAATATACTATCCCAGTCATCTCGCGGTTGTCATAAGAGGATATAGAAAGCAAGGAAACAGTAGATGGGGAGCAGCAATACACTCTATATTAATAATATTTGGCATAACATAATGAATAATGTCCTCCAGAATGAATTTCCTTCAAGAGGTATCAACGAGACTAGCCATCTGCGCAGGATAGGATTATATGCACAAGGATATAGTGCGCAATGCGGAAGCACAAGTGCACTCTTTATTCGCTCACACTCCTAGTCCGATAGGACGGTTATCTGACTCGATCGAAAAGAGATCAGTCGCAGAACGCGCTGAAGAGATCGGGCGTGAAACCCCGGCAACTTCCTGACTCCGGCTTACTACTGAGAACTTCTTGATAGAAAAACTCAATAACAGATTTTGACCCGATCCAGAATTCGAACCCGGGACCATGATCAGCAACCCCGTTTACCATCACCAGACCAACGAGGCAGTCAATTGTGTAAAGTGGTAGAGCCATGCTGCAGTTATATTAGTAGTATAGTTGTAGCATGAATGGGTCGGCTCAACCGGGGAAGGACCACGCTCTCACAGAATACCAGCGTGAAATAGTAGCTTAATGCTGCTGTGTTTCGTATGGTGAGTGTAGAGAACCGGAAACCCGTTTTACTAGAAACGAGGCATTCCATCTTAGTCCTCACGGGTGACAACGCATCTGCATTTTGATTTGTAATCGAGGATAGATGTAGATGTCTATGGGCCGCAGCAACTACTTACCATCAGGTGGACTGTGTGCTCGTTTGTCACCCATTCCTATAAAAATAATTGTCATAACATTGTGATAGATTGAACACAATTATATTTTTATGTAATGGATACTTGTCTACTTTTAAGAGAGAAATCGCGTTCAAAATACTTTGAAACATTTAACTTTTTAGATATGTGCGTAATCTTACCCTTAACAGATATAAAAGTGAGAGCCTTTAATGCAATTGATGTGAACAGACTTTTAACAGCGAATAATCCTAAGAGTAATGGAAGTATGTATTTACTCTTCATCATAATATGTTTATGTTTTTTATTCTTCTTGTATAGTTTTAAGATGCATTTCTTCATTTTACCTATGTGATTGTGTTTCTTCTTCAGTTTCTTCCCCATTTTCTTTATATTTTTCCCCACGCCTTTTAATTTTGTAGTAATTGTTGATGGTTTTATGGGATTCTTCTCTGTAAACAAATTAATTTCCAGTTATGTGTACATTTTGTTAATTATTCACGATATATATCCTATACCTTTAAACGAGCAATTCTTGTATATATATATATATATATATATATATATATATATATATATAATCGGAGTCTCGGAAACGGCTCCAACGATTTTCATAAAATTTTGTGTGCAGGGAGTTTCGGGGGCAATAAATCGATCTAGCTAGGATTTATTTTTAGAAAATGTCTTTTTGTCCGTGTTTTTAGGCAATGAAAAACTGCTACAATATCGTTAGAATAAGAAGGTAAATTCGGGCGGTCACAAAATCGTAATACCATGGTTCGAGCCCAGACCGACCGACCGACTTTTATTTTTTTTTTCAAGTTCCTTTCTTTTTTGAGAAAACCTATTTTTTCGAGCCCTTTTTTTGTATTTTTTAAAAATACGAAAATTTAAATTAAGCTAATTGCACTCATGATTTTTTATACAAATAACCAGTTCAGTTTTTCTATTATGTCGCTAAGATCAAAAAATATTATTCGTATTTCATCAGCATGTAATTTGTATCTAAATAAAATTTTCAAAACACACGAATTAAAAAAAACCAAGCCAAAAATACCGAGCAAAGCTCGGTCAACCGGGTACTAACGATATAAGTTGATGAACTAAATTGTAGATACAGTACGCGCGTATCACACATACTAAATTAAATGGCAGATAAGACAGACATTTGAACTTGTAGTCTGAGTCAAGAAGGTCTCTTTACTTGTGTTATTTTTAAGGATATTAAGAGAATAGGAGAGGAGGATATATACGTGTCATTAAAATTGTTATAATGCACTTCATAATTCTGTTATGGTTGCTACGAAATTAATGATAAAAAAAACATACCTTTTAAAGTTCGAGCCTCGAATGGTTCATGACGAAAATTCCAATGAAGAAAGTCCATGTCTTCTAAACTACTGTTACGAAAATTTGCATGGATAGGATGACTAAAATCGAAAACTGATTCTGTTTCAACTATTCCATAGTTACTTGTAGTATCCAGAATAAAGCTGTTTAAATAAGGTATCATTTTAAAAGTATAGACCATTTTTTTCAGTTTGAACAGGTAACTTTATGAACGCATTTTCGTCAACAATACTGCTTGTGCTTGAGTATGTCACTTGTCTTTTATACTGCTTTAACTAGTTCACTGCAGGTTAGCATGCATTGCGCTTTGGTGAAGTATTATCTTAACTAATGACTAATAAAAGTCACTAATGGTAGCCTTAGCGAAAGTTAATATGTAGCTATTTCAAAGAAATTACTTAGATGTTATTTAGTTTGGTAGAAGTAGTTTAGTTTGGTAAATAGTGCCAAATACTGCCAAAAATTATTATAATAAAGATTAAATATCGTATGGCTTACAATATTTCGTAGGTGATCTTTTATTTTTAGCGTCATTTCTGATGTCGTCATCGAGAATTAATAACTTACGTAGAGTGAAAGTATATATGTCAGTAAATCATTATTTAATATATTAAATAAATATATTTCAATTTGGATACTCATTGCAATTGTACTTACTGCCATTTTGAGTGCTGATTTACCAAGTGTTACGCTGTTAAACGTAGTAGGACCATGTTGCCGCTAAATTATGGCTGCACTACGAATAGGTTGGCTCGACTGGGGTAGGACCACGCTCTCACAGAATACCAGCCTCCAATAGCAGCTTGATGCAGCTGTGTTTTGCATAGTAATTGTAGAGGACCAGGGACCCTTTTTACTGGTAACGAGGAATTCTATCTTAGTCCTTCCTAAGGGATGCATTTGCATTTTGAATCTTAATCCCTCGATAAAGAATCACAATGTAGCCAGAATAGATGTAGATGTCTATGGGACGCAATATTCACTTATCATTAGGTGGACTGTGTGCTCGCTTATCACCTTTTTATAGAATAAGTCTATAAAAAAAACCCAAATAAAATACTTAGAGGATATGTAAGGTTTGCCAAACACGCACTGGCGCAGCGCAGTGATTTAAAAGCGCCATAACCACCTCAAATATGAATTTAGGAACTGTATTACTTTAAGAACTGTAAATGGTTAATAGGCCATGTAAAAGTGTCTTGTAATGCCGTGTAAGAGTGTCCTGTAAAAGTAATGCTTTGGCTGGCGATCATATAATCGCACTGTCATAACCTTCTCCAAATTTCAGTACGAACTAATTTAAAAATCTACGCTTACGTTTTATCACACAGTTGTACTTTAGCTTGACGCTTGAAGTAAAAGTTAAATTTTCTTACATATAAATGATTGCTCATGTCAGCCTAACATGTTTGTGGTACACTCTGTTTATCAAAGAAAGAATCTCTAATGGCCGAATTATGGATAGTATATCCATTTGGAATTGAAATAACTCTCCACAGATTGCTAATGGGTGACAGCATCATTAGTGCGGTTTATTAGGAAGGGGTGGGAAGGGAAGAGCCGTGGTAGCTCAGATAGTTAGCGTTCGCTGTAAATTTCACAATACGCGAGCAAACCGGGTTTGATCCCCGCCGGCACCAATGAAATTGTTAGTTGCAATTTTAAGTGCTGATTTACCACGAGCTCGGCGGTGAAGGAAAACATCGTGAAAAAACCTGCATGTCTAAGAAATAAAAAAAAACATTTCAAAGACATGTGAAGTTCGCCAACATGCATTGGGGCAGCGCGGCGGACTATTCCTTGCCCTAAAACCCTCTCAGAAATGAGGGGAGACCTGTGCCTAGCAGTGAGACGTATATAGGCTGTAACTTTACTTTACTTTTACTTTTATTAGGGAGGGGGGACACCCTCGGCTGATAAATTCGAATAATCCACGTAGTAAGTATTAGGTGTATCTAATACTCTCTCGTCTATCATATAAGTTTAAAAAACGAGATAGATTTGTATTCATTGAGAGTGTGACGTAACAGAGTGGGATTTGATTTGGGTGGATAGTTAAGGGGATATCCGGGTAGTGTTTAGTCTGTTACAGTTACCTTTACAGCCTATTAAGCTACTGCTGAAAGTAGGCCTATAGACTGCCTCATAAGTGAGGATATTAAGCATAGTTGCCAAGCCTAGCAAGCGGGTTGGAAATCGCTGTTTTTTTATTTTTATTCGTTATAAGGAAGTCGATGCTACCCATCTTATTGTTTTATTTTATTTTCCTCTGTTGGTTCTTACGACTCTCTCGGGATGATATTATTTGGTAGCGAATATTCTAACACCGCCGCTACATGCTCATGGTGGGTGATTAGTCTATACAGATATATTTTTCTGTTGTTTTTCTGGATAATGAGACTAATATATCCCGTATAGGTACCATGTTTAGGTCGAACTTACGACAAAAAAGAATGTGCCAACTGTTTTACCTATCTATCTATCGTAAAAAGGTACTAATGAGATATTGGGTTTGTACTTGTGAAGGCCATGTGCTACTCATATCTCACTAAGGTGAAGCTAAGGTGGAAAAAATCTTGCAATATACACTTTTTTTTTTTTTTTTTTTTTGCGCCCGAAGCAATTAAAGGGCTACCCTGTACGTAGGGAGGCGGAAAATGCATTACGCATACCACGATAGCCGGTCTATCGTGGTTATGGGGGACTCACTGTCCTACCGGGGACCCTAAGTGATACCCCCTAAAAACCGCCTTTAGGGACAGGCAACCGGCTGATTAAGCTCTATTGTGCCTTATCATGAGCGACCCTCTTTTGGGAAAAGAGGGCGCAGGCGGCTAAGTGCCGCTGAGGGAGTGCCTACGAAGGCAAATTAATGTCAGATATTACAATAATTTTATTTAATTAGAGTTGGCCTGAGCTGCCAGGAGACAGTTCAGGTCGTTTGAGAGTTTATTAGGCGGGTCCGAGAGAGAGTTTCTCGGCCTGCGGACACGATAGCGAGAGGGGGGTGGGGCTGCATAAGAAGCTGCCTCACGAATTAAGTGGTTTGGGTGCGACTCTGAGGCTTTGAAGAAGTTCTCAGAGAGTTTTTTAAGAAATTGCTGAATTGTTGGGAGCTCTAAGTCCCGATGAAGGTCGGCATTGCGGACGTACCACGGTGCGTTCGCAGCTCGACGACAGAATAGGTTCTGAACTATTTGGAGTTCATTTAAAATGTTAGGGTTTGCGTGGGCAAAGACGGGGCCCGCGTAGGACATGACTGGTCGTATACATACCTTATAGAGTGTACGCTTGTTTCGAAGGGACATTTTACTGTGTCGGCCCAACATACTGTTGAGCCTACTCAGATAAAAACGTGCGTGACGGGTTACTCTTTTGACGTGGGGCTTGAAAGTGAGCCCTGTGTCTAGAGTGACACCTAAATATTTGGCGGACGTATGCCAGGGGACAGGGGTCCCTAGCATACGTATTGGTGGAGTGTTTTTGAGACGGCGTCGTTTATAATCGAAGTGAACGGCGGAGCTCTTCTCCGGGTTCACATCGATGCGCCATTTTTTGAACCAAGCTCCTAGGTCATCAACTGACTTTTGGATCTTGTTCCGTATGAAGGGTAGTGAGACACCTTTGCAGTAGATGGCAGTGTCGTCTGCAAAGAGGGAGAGTTGAACACCTTTCGACGGGATGGGAATGTCGTTGGTGAATATGATGTACAGCAGAGGAGCAAGTACTGAGCCCTGAGGGACACCAGCCTTGATAGTTCGCTGTGAAGAGAGCGTGCCTTCGTGTCTGAAACGAAAGGTACGATGTTTTAAATAGGAGGCCACGAGACGAACTAGACGGTCGGGGAGACCTATTTTATAGAGCTTGTAGATAAGGCCTGTGTGCCAGACTCTATCGAAAGCTTTGGCTATATCGAAGAAGACCGCGATGGTCTTATGACGACGAGGATAGAAACCGCTGAGGATATATTCCACAATGCGGTGAACTTGTTGGGGACATGAGTGTTTGGCTCGGAAGCCGAATTGATGGGGAATGATAAGAGGGTCGCCGTCTGTGGGAAACAGGTAGCGCCTCATACGACTTTGGATGACTCTTTCGAAGAGCTTGCCCATTGCCTTGAGGAGGCTAATGGGGCGATGGCTGGAGGGGGAGGTTGAGAGGCTTGCCTGGCTTGGGAATTCCAATCACAGTTGCCTCTTTCCACGTAGTGGGAAAATAACTAAGGTTGAAGCAGGCGTTGAAGATAATAGATAGAAGGGTTAACACCTGCTCGGGAAAGTGTTTGAGGGCTTGGTTGGAGATGCCATCCGCGCCCGGAGCCTTTTTAGGCTTAAGTCCTTTGATGAGGGATGAAATCTCATCATTGGACACAGAGATAGGTTCGGAGGCGGTAGGGGGTGAGTTCCGGCGGCGGACCTCATCCTCTACTGCCTGGACGTGTGAGGGGTCAACAGGTTGAGAACTAGGGGAGCATTGATCGGCAATGCTATCCGCAAAGCACTTCAGCCTTCTCCTCGTCCTCGAAGGCAACCGTGCCGTCGGGACGGGAGAGAGGGGGAGTGTGGGTGATAGCGTCTATGCGGAGGGCTCTAGCCATCTGATAGTACGCTGTGTGAGATGGAGTGATATTCTCCATGAGCTTACTCTTTTCGAGATCTTGAAATTCAGAGAGGCGGAAGCGGAGTTTTCGTTGAAGACGATTGGCCGCGCGCCTATATTCGGGGGTGGGATATTTTGCTGCTCTCCGGAAAGCAGCTTTTTTGGCTTTTAATAGGTTGCTAATATGTAGGGGAAGCCCACTATTGTTAGCAACCGGGACGACCCTTTCGTTCTCCTTAAGGGAGGATTTAATAAGGGTGGAGAGTGAGTCGACCGCGGTGTCGATTTTTTCGGGACTGTCTAAGTCCGACGGAATGGAGATGGTAGAATCCTGTGAGTCCAGAGCTTTAGCTAGGGACTCCTTGAATCCCTTCCAATTAGTGAAGGTTTTTGTGTGTATTGGGGGAGGTGGCTGATGGCCAAGAATGAGGGAGACCG